TTATATACATGTCAAAATCATTTACAAGGGCAACATATCCCGATCAAATTTCTTTACAAAAGACCAAAACGAACTTATAAGAAACACAAAAATACTAAAAGACTTAGTCCTCTCCGGGAGCAGCATCTTCGCCCTCGAGGCCCATTTCACTTTCAGATCCGCTCGCACTCCCGGTATCATCATCATCAGGAAAAGCCAACACTCTGGCTTCGGCTTCAAGATCCTTAGCTTTCTCGATATCGACTGTTAGATCGAAGCCACGAGCATGAATCTCTTCGAGAGTCTCCCTTCGAGACTAGCATTTAGCATGCTCGGCAACCCAGTTTGCCCGAGCCTGAGCAGCCTCAGCAACATCCTTTGCTTGAACTTGAGCAGCTTCGACATCAAATCGATAAACGGCCACCATTGCATCAGCATCGGCCATGGTTTTCTTGACCTTCGATTTGGCCGCTGCAAGTTCTATGGCCAATCTCTCTCGATCAGAATTTGCTGAGCTCAATTGAGACTGGAACTCCTCGATATTCTTGGCTTGCACCAAGATTTTCTCTTTCAAGCTTTGGAGTTGGGCCTCAGCCGAAGCCGTTGAGTCCGGGCAGTCTCCTTTTCTGAGGTGAGGCGGTCCATGTTCTTCTTCCATTCCTCGGCCTCCGATTTCACTACGTCCACTTCAGCACGAATCTGCCTAATCATATCGAACTTTTTCTCGACCTGCGGGACCGAATTATTAGCCATCACTCCCGAGTCAATATCATTAAATTCAAAGATTCTTTGTACCTGCTCGGCCAGTTCAGCTTGTTCTTTCCGAGATGCTTCCAACTCGGCCCGAAGTCCTTCTCTCTGCTCACTGAGAAGCTTTAAGGCATCTCTCTCCTCAGTAAGCCTTCGAACTTCGGTCTCGTACTGACTCATCTCCCCTCGGGATTGGAAAAATGCCTCGTGATGAAGCACATAAGCCAACAAAAATAAGAAGGGATTATACAAGGAAAGAAAAACACAAGTATGAAAATTGGCAAAGAAAGTATGAACTTGCCCGATTCAGGGCCCGTTGGGCTTCGTAAAATAGGCAAGGCGCTCCCACCTCGCTCGAGCTCTTCTTCGGAGCCTCCAAGTCACTCGGACCGGTGACATCTTCTACCTTGATAAAATAAACTCCATAGACTCCTTCCCCGTGACAAGTCTCCACAACTTGAGCGTCATGTATCATCGATTGGGAAAAAGAAGGTAAAGAGGGGGGATCCCCGATCTCTATCGCCTCGAGTAGGTCTTTTTGAGCGCTGCCTCCGTCCTGGGGAGCCTCAAGCTCGGTTTGCACACCGGCATATGCAGCTTCTTCGACGGTCTCTTTACCCCAAGGTAAAACATCCCCGGTCCCCCTCGGCTCGGGAACTTAGGTCGAAGTCTCCTCCTCGACCTCGTCAAGTCTGGTCGGAGCAGTATCAACTCCCACCGATACCGAAGTATTCTGAGTATCGGTGCTAGCCCGTGCACGGGCCAACAGACCGAAAGCACTTTCTTCTTCTTCTTCTTCTTCTTCATCCCTTAAACTCAGGACCGACTCCATAGTCAAAGGGATTTTGTTCACCTTGGGTTTACGAGCCGCTCTCTTTTTGGGTTTTTGACCCTCGGAGTCCGAGGCCCTTTTTCTCTTAATTACCTTCTCTGGTTTTGAGATAGGCGGTACAACTTCTTCATCACCTGATGGCGGTCTCATAATCGCATCTTTTCCAAGAACTACAAAGAAAGAAATGTAAATAAAATTTACGCCTGAAAAAATACTTGAACAATAAGCAAATCGGTGAGCCAAGAAGAAGGTTTACCATGAGTACGAGCCTCCCACCGGCTCTTTGACAAATTGCGCCATGCGCGCTCGCCATATATCGACGTCGAAACCAGGCTCCTGACCCAGTTCTCGAGATGGGGAACCGCACCCGGCATCCAAGCAACGGCTGTGTCAAGAAAAACACTAATAAGAAAAGATGAAGAAGTAAAAACAACAAAAACTGAAAACGGAATCACACTAACGGTTCATATTCCATTTCTCGGGAAATGGCATACTCTCAGCCGGGATTAGGTCCGAGGACTTCACTCGAACAAACCGGCCCATCCAACCCCGATCCTTGTCTTTATCTATGCTCGAGGTGAAGGCCTTGGTGGCCCGACGTTGAAGCTTTATCAGCCCACCTCGGTAAAGACGAGGGCTATATAATCTTACGAAGTGGTCGAGAGTGAAAGGAAGCCTGTCGATTTTGCTCACAAAGAAACGGAGCAATATTACAATCCTCCAGAAAAAAGGGTGTATTTGGCCGAGGGTCACCTGATACTTCTTGCAGAAGTCGATGATGACCGGATCGAGGGGACCCAGCGTAAAAGGATAAGTGTAAACACTCAAGTACCCTTCCACGTGGGTAGTGATCGCTTTCTCCGGTGTCGGTATCACAGCTTCTTTGTTTTCCCAACCACAATATTTCTTCACCAAATCAATAAGGCTTTGGGGTATGGAGCATATACATCTCGATACCGGATCACATCGACCAGCAACCGATGAGGATTTCTCGACCTTAAAGTCGGAATCGATAACATATCCCACGGGAATGAGTTCTTCGAGGCGTGGCTCCACCACCAGTTTCTCACCGACCGGCCGAGAGGAGGAAGCAGCCTCTTTCTGAAGAACGGTTTTAGATATCTTGGCCATCTAAATTTTCAAGAACAAAGAAGATGGGAAATTGGAATATTATGGTGTTTGGTGAAGAACAAGCAAAGAAATTTCTAAAACTGGAAATAGAGAACTGTGGAGAAGGCGAAGAACTATGAAGGTTGGAATGAAAAGATTTGAAGGTAAAGGTTTGAAATGATGATGAAGGGGGGTTATTTATAGATTTCATAGTGACGGTTCAAAATTGGTGGTGGCCGACCATCGTCTTACGCGCATTTAATGCCTTGATAACTAGACCGACGGGACATTTGTCACATACGTCATAATCGGGCTCGATGCAGACGTCAGTATGTATCTAGTCAAAAGTTGAAAAATCATATTGTTTCTCGCTATATTTCTTTCCGAGAAACGAGGGGACTATCTGTATACAGTCAAAACCGTGTTTTCCCTTCATGTAATTAGTCAAGATTGGAACATGATGGACCGAAGGTCGTCATTATAATATCGAGATGAGATGTGAAGTCGGGTTATCGAGCTCAAGATCCAGACCGATCAATACCGAGCTCGAGTCAATATCGAGCTCGAGACCCAGAGACCGACCAATACCAAGACCGACCAAGATCGAGCCAAGAGGCAAAGAGCCGTTGTAGCCGCACTAGGGGGAGAGAATCTCAGCGGGAATTAAGGAAAAGCTAATTAATTAATCTATCATGGGATCTCCACTATGTATTTTTAATTATATCCAAAGTAAGATTTTTTCACTATATTAAGAGTGGCTATCATTTCTGGAAAGAGACATCCATACATTGATACACTCTCACATTTCAAAGATTATTGAGATTTACACACATATACTAAAGATTATCTTTTTTCGGGCTTTGGACATTGATTCATCTTGTTCATTTATAAATCATTCTCTACTCAATTTGGGTTTGTATTCATTCCTTTGTACAGTCAATATTCGATATATTTCTTCTTATTTTTTCGATTTGTACCAAGTTATACCACATATCCTTAGAACCACGTATAAATTTAACTCTAGGGCGCTCAAAACGGAGGCGTCTTATAGTGAATACTCAAGACTTTTCATGAATCTTGATGGGATTTTCCTGTCATCCAATTCGAACATCTCTTCTTCTTCTTCTTCGCGGGACTATCTTCTGATGAGACGGAGAGTCTAAAAGGAATGATGAACTTCTAGCGCTGCAACAATACATTTGCCATTGTCCAATTCTGTAGATGAATACTGTTGGGAATGTCCAAAATGTGCATGCGTTCTACATGTTTCTATAGCAGATGTACTAATGTACTTTTTAAGCGACGGCACTTTCCTTAATTTGAAATTTGAATTTGATTTTGTTATGGGAAACACCTTGCTTTATATTTATAATGAATTCTGCTATTTTAGAAATATTTGCCCTTAAGATAATCTCATCTAGCAGTAATATTATGGCAATTTATTTGATTACGTTAGAAAAGTAAATTTCGTGATATTGCACGAAAATAACAGCAAAAGTTGCTATCATTAAGTGAACATCTCTGGATCTATTTGATAAAACAAGAATTTTGTTTTCTTTAAGAAAAATAATAATAAATTGCTTCGTAAAGTGCAATGTTGGGCCCGTTCTAAGCACATCATCTAGTAGTAAATACAATGAATATCAATTTGTCTCAAGTAAAGGCTCTGAAGCACCAATGCTTGTTCGGAATCTCGGTTTTCTTTCACATTCACAGTTCGGAAACATGTGATTTGTGAGGTGTTTTTCTTGATTTAGAAGCCATAAAACATTCTTACAAAGTGTAGTGTATCCATTCCATGTTAAAATTTGTACATAACGTGCATTGTATTATTTGCTCAACAGAGTTTCTATAATTCTATCATCTTGTATTGACTCTATTATCCGCCTCTGCGTGTATTTTTCATTCATCTACATCTTTCCTTAAGCCAACTGTTGCTAAATAAAAGAGGTTTTTAAAATCTTGAAGAAATTAACAGTAAATTATATATAGATCATGGTAATACATAGTTACCACAATATAGCCAGTAAGGATAACTTGCCATAGTTGCCCATATAACAGGGTGCAGGGAGCGCATCTCATTCGAGGGACTATAAAAGTTATCCTTGGAGAGAGAGGTAAGTGAATAATTGATTGACTGCGATCAAATTTCAACCGAATATACAATACATAACCTAACCAAATTGAAAACCCATAAGGAGAAATAGACTTGTTAAGGCTTTCCATAGCTCTGTCAAGCAAAGTCAGTACAGCAAAGTCTTGGCTTGTTATGCTACTTTTCATCCGCTGGGTTTCAGTTCTCGGGTGATAAGATAAGGCGGGGATTCAATAAAATCGCAAATTAGATGTTTCAGCTAAATTCTGCTAAAGGGAAATCAACAGTAAAACCCTAAAAGAAACATGTACAAAACGAGCAAGCTCTTAAAAATATATACTAGCAATCTCTAATGTCTCAACTCAAGTTCCTGCTGCAATAAACATATGAGATAAATTCAACAAACAGGAAAGGCCTGTTCATGCTACCCCGAACACATACCCATCGTATACTGGGAATCTATAAATACAAATTAGGTAGCTGACGCGTACTATACTCGCACTCTAAAGCATTCCCAGACACCAATGAAGACCACAAGCAGACTTGCAACCACAAGAACCATGGACATGTACAGACGTGATGAACTTGAGAGCTTTGTATTGGTCCTCAAGGACACATCAACAATGTCTTGAACTGGAGAATCACATGCATCTTTCACGGGTGTGCTCAGGTCATCAGCCTCTCCACTAACTCCATATTCTCCACAAGTTGTATCTCGTGTCTCATCACTGGTGGAAGAACTATGTTCATCGGAGTCTTTTTCAGCCTGCACAATCCGGCATAAGTATGTGTTTTAGTGTCTAAGAGGGTAAAAACTTATCTAAATTTAAGAAAGAAGAGGAAAAAGGGACTGGAGAGGCTTACCTCGGTTACTGCTAGACGACTTTCTGGCCCCTGACTAGAATCAGTATGGCTGCGAGACTCAACCCGTCCAACTTGAAGTTTCATTTGCAAACGTATTCTTCTGTTTGCAGTTCCTTGCGTTCTAAACTGCCTGTCATCAGACTGATTCTGCATTTGCCTAGGCCTGAGTTTTATTCCAGTTCCGGAGCCAGAATCACTGCTTACTACATTGCTGTAACCACCAGATTGTTCTACACTTGGGAAGTTTGGGACCTGAATTGCACCATAACCAGCAGGGTAAACATTCTGTCCAGGGTAGGAATGTTGAAAGAAATCTAGGTTCCCCATAGCATGATCATTGCTAACATAAGGTGCACTTCCACAAGCCTCTTGCACTGTGGCCCCAATAGAGTTAACCTCTCTTTTAACTGCAATCTCTCGATCAAAATTGCCCAGCAACACCTCAGGCTCAAAGAAGTCTGGCTCAACCTTGGACAAAAAAAAAAGGAAAAACAGCATAAGATCAGCTACCTAAGAACTTTTTTGGGGAAAAAAAATGGCATGGTGTAACTGATGTCCACAGAGTTGCACTTACCAGCCTTTGGGTAACTTCTGCTTCTGACTCACTACATGATCCAGAGTCCTTAATTGGCGCACCAGGTACACTGCAAAATTGCGCTACCAATTCTTGTCCAGAATCTTCGCATGAAAACTCATCTGAGTTGATAATTACTGAGTCCAAAAATTCATTGATATCAAAAGCATTTGTTCCATACTGAAACTGGACATCTTTTTGATAAGCACCAATGCCATTATTCATGGGGTTTTGCAAATAAGAAGATCCAAGTTCCACCTGTAACTGTGAGTGCAACGGGGAGAAGATCTTCCAATCAAAAGGCTGCATTGACGGGTCACAAAAATTTCCCAATGCTTTCTCTAGCTCCATATCGGGCTAAACATGAAGCAGAAAAGAAAATTATCACTTAAAGCAATTCCTTTTTGAGTCGTTAACACTTTAACCAATNCAATTCCTTTTTGAGTCGTTACCACTTCAACCAAATTAATCCACTATAGAAACCTTGTTATTCAAGCAAAAGTAGAATCCCAATGTAGTTTTACTTACCGGTATGGATGTTATGTCCAACATTTGATCTTCTGTATCATCAGCAATACAGCTGTTGCTGTGGCTCTCAATGGGTAATTGTTTGCCATACATCTCGCCCTTGGGAAGCTTTGCAGCATAGCTTTTATCACTATCACTTAAAGGTTGTATGACTGCTAATGGAGTGGCTGCCTCTGATAAATCACCTTCAGTAGGTGATTTGGCAACTGTAGCATTCAGTTCAGCATCATCTAAATTGGAACTCTCAACATGCTCATCCTGCTTCAAATCATTCTTCCTGAACAGGCGACAAAGCACAAAAGCACCCTGCACCAGGCAAATTACATATCCCGGTATGAGCTAATTTTCATTGCATTATCACAAATAACAAAAGAAATGTGTATTCCTGATTCAATTGAGAAGTATGCGTCATATCCAGAGGTTTTTTCTATTTTCTTTGATACGTAGATGCTTCGGATCCACACTCATCGACTTGGATATCTAAAAACACTAAACAATCAGCGGTATGTTCATTGTGAGAGCAGTTGACTGTATTTCAGAAAACGCTGCCACTACACGTACGTTCACTTAACGAGTCTACTCTAATTAGGAAAGAAGTAAAAAGTTTTAAATCTTTTCTTACAAAAGAAGTCATCTGAACATCTACATAATGTCTTCTAATGAACAAAGCTAACAAAAAGCAACATCTGGTTAGGCTGTTATTGGTATCCAGAGCCTCAAGAAAATCCTTACGTGGATGTAACAGAGGATCTTCAAGTTCGCTACAAGTAATTCATTATGCTACCACAACAAATAGCAATTCAAAAGTTAATAGTTCATGTGGCATGAAGATGTTATACACCAAAGCAACCAATGCACAAACAAAAAGTTTATATTACGCCATTTAAAAGAAAAGTTTATATTATAAATATTTAGCTTTTTAACAGTAAAGTATAACATCATAAATCTCATAACCCTTCTAGTCAAAGTTCCAAATTTNGTAATTATATAATCTCATGAAAATGGATTACCATAGCTAGAAAATTTGCAAGCACAACACTCAAGGGTGTGGCCTAGCGGTCATGAAATGGCAGGATGAGCTCTCAAGTTCAAAACCCAGCGGAGGCAGAAAACACTAGGTGATTTCTTTCCATCTGCCTAAGCCTTGGTGGGAAGAGTTACACGGTACCTACGTTGGGGGGAAGTAGCAGGTACCGGTGGAATAGTTTGCACATGCTGGCCCGAACACCACCATCATAAACAATTGCAAGTATATCCAATATTTTGAGTCCTGAAATACAGATGACACTAACCAAATAGGATAAAACCAACCAATCCTATATGGTTAAATTATATGATATGCAGCTTAAGGCATGCTTTACGTTTAAAATTTTATGTATATAATTACATTGTAGAATCTGATCAAAGTGAGCAATAACAGCAATACAAATTCAAGACACAAGATAATCAAGGATGTGTAGACCTGGCCAGGATGTGATCCATCCAATGACTTGTCAGTTGCACGATATTCATGAATCACCCAATGAGTCCTCTTGCCTTCAGGAGCTCGGCCAATGTAGTATACCAAGGTCTTCTTCATCCCAATTTTTGCACCCTTCTTAGTAACAATGTTCCTATCTTTACCCGTAGCTTTCCAGTAGCCTCGTTCTGTTGCTCGGTTCAATCGCTGCCCATTTTGGTACTTCCGATCCTTTGGGCAGAAGAAGAACCACTCATTGTCATTTGACTCTACCACAGACATATCTGCAAAACAATCCACACCATTATTTTCTTTCAAAATGTTTACTTCATCTTTCCAAAAAGAATGTGTTTTTTTGGGATCTGGCCTGTGACAGATACGACCAAAAAAGACACAGTCAAAAGTGTGTACATGTGTTAGGGATGTCAAGGGAGGTAAGTGTTTCAGGGATGATCTAAACACCAAATCAAATTTAGCCAAGAAACTGTCTACAGCATATAATATGGAGGCACACTGAAATGTCAATAATCAGCAGAATAAAAACATAGAATATTTTACTCTCTCATCTATCTTCGTCCATTCTACAATAACAGCTAGCAACAAATTTTGAGTTGTAGAACAACACAGTGCCAAGGCTAACCAGTACAGTCCTTCCTACTGTGGAAATCAATTCTCAGTGGAATAGTTCCGCAATCTTTTTCTCATTTTTCTTTTTCTTACTGGAAAGTACATTTGCCTAACCATATGACATACTCTAGTTGGGGAATGGGTTATTCGCCCAAGTACTCCAATCTTATCCTTGAAAAATGAGACAAATAGGTCTCAAGATTTAACCCCACCCCACCCAACCCAACTGTATCAGTATATATCTAACTTAAATATTAATGTGTTTCACTACCTTATGTGCTAGCGGGTTCTGTGAAAATAAACTCGAAAAGCTTAACGAAGCCAAAAAATAAGAATCAATTAGATATCAAGCTTCAAGGCTAAGTAATTTTTGAAGCCAAGCATCAGCCTTTCTAATAAATGAAAGCCGAGACTACTCACAGCAACGGATTTCCCGGCAAGATATAACCAAAAATATTAGGGTTCAGGGTTCAACACAGCTCTAAATTGGGGCATAACACGCACAAAAATTAAATTAATTAATTAATTAATTAACTAAGATAAGCAGGGATACTAACCAGGCAAGTCCCAAGGCTCGAGTTTACAGATATCAACTTCTCGAATAACGCTGACTTCACTATCAGCACCGTTGATCTTCAACCGCAAATAATGATTCACTAGTTCCTCATCCGTCGGCCGAAAACGGTATCCTACCGGCAGAGTATTTAACGGCGGTATACCCATCTGTTTATCCACCGGAAGTACGGCGATCACGTTATCTCCAGGAAGTACGGCCATCATTTACAGCACCAAGTTTTTGCAAAGTTGAGATGGGCAAAAAAGTGAAAAAAGCAAAAAAGTTGATGAACTGACGAAATATAAAATTATAAAGAGTAAAAAAGTAAAAGTAATCAAGCGAGATCTGGAAAATTTTAGAGAGAAAGATTCTGAAGTGAAGTGGCTATGGTTAAGTTTTTTTCATAAGAGAGGAAAAAATCTCCATTGGAAACATCTCAGAAAGTGAGCTGAATTAACTTCAATTTGTCTATATTAGCTAAAATTGCTGATTTGGAAAGAGAGTGCCGCGTTTTACATTCTGTGTATATACCGCGTAGAATTGTTAAGACATGGTTTTGCTTCTAATTTCAAAACTGCCATTGTTTTAAGTGAATTATCGGTTTTCTCCATGGTTGAGATAGGCTAGTAAGAGGAAAAGGATGGAGGGTATATAAGAAAATTGGCGAAACCTAGCTAGGAAGGTTAAGCTACAGAAAGTCATAGAGCGAATAAAGAACTGACACGTGGAAAGATGAAATCATCTTGGTACAAACCAACCACAATGACGTACCACATATTCATCGAACTTAAACATAAAAAACAGATAATTCCCTGACCAAATCAGTTGAGTGTTTTGACGAGAGTAAAAGAAAAGAAGCTTCGAGGACCAACAGTTTTTGCTGCTATTACTAATTTTCACATCTTCGTCTTCTTTTTTATTTTAAAAGTAATTTTTTATTGTATGAAATTTAAGAACTTAACACCTGCTAAAAGTATTACATTATAAAGCTTTTGTGATCTTCACATACCGTAATATTTGATTGTTATAAAGTAAAATGGAAAATTTAAATCTAAAAAGTTTCTATAATATAAAATGTGTCTTTAAGTAAAATGTTTTTTTTTTTAAAAGACAGAAAAAGAAATTGCAAAAGGGAAAAATACAGAAAAAGCATTGTAAGAGGAAAAGAAAGACAGAAACAATGGTCCAATCTCCACTTGGCTTGTTTAGAAAAGTTGTGATCCACTTAATTACGTATAAGATATAGCGCGTTCACACCAGGAAACAATTTATAATCTCAACTTGGATTTTTATTTATATTTTCTTCAAAATAGGAAATTTCTAGTGTTTGTTTTCTATGACAAACACACCTCTCAAGGTTTGCTGACTGTTGTCTTTTTGTGATAAATTTGAGAAAATAAGCAATTATTATCTCGTCTTAATCGATGTGGCATAAAGACATAGTACGAGGTAAATTTATTGTTCTCTTCTTATGAGAATTCAATGAGTAGTTGGTTTTAAAAAACAATTGGTTTAGCCCAAGGTTTTTCTGGCCTAAAACTGTTTTCTATAGCAAAAAATCATGTCAAAACATTTTTATGGCAATGACAACTAGGGGTTTCACAAAGAAAAAAAAGTAAGGATTGCACCCTATGTTTTTCGATTTGCATGTTCTGTTTTAAAACGATTGTTCGGAGAGTTATTCTATAATTAGACGTTTTAAAATAAGAGTTCCAATTAACTCTAAGAATTCAAAACTTTAATTAAAAAGATAAAAAGACGGGGAAGCAGTTATCTTAGAAGGCGTAAATACGCTCTGTTTTCTTCTTTTTTTAATCTTCACTTTTTTAATAAGTTAATATCTTCTCCTCTTTTGACTCCTTTAACCAAAACGTTCATCTTCGACTTTCCACTCTTAAAGAGAACTGATAATATATATTGACCTATACTCTTAGGAACATTATAGGAACTTAAAACTATTTATCCTCACTATAATCCAAGAATTAAGTTGCATATGTTAACCAACATTTTCGAATCCACCTAAGTTAATTTCGAATCCACCTAAGTTACCCTTTTTGAAAAATATAATTTTCACACGTTTACTAAGCAAAGTAGTCGTCGCCACTCATCATAGCCAACATAAAATTTTCTTCTTCTTTTTTTACTTTTTTCCTTTTGGTTGCGTATGGAATTCCTTGGTTCAGTCTGAATCAACTAATAGACAAGAATAATTGTTTGTTGATTTATTATCTTTTAGCTCTTGTTCTCTCTGTTTTTTCTAGCTTTCCTCTTCTTCTTCTTTTTATTTTTGGGTGTTTTTTTGTTCTTTTTCCGTAGTACTTTGGCTTTTTAATATCTCTGTTTTTAGTTCATGATTTGGGTATCCATCTTTTTATTTTTTGTAACTTAATTTGCTTTTCTAGTTTTTTTTTTTGTGCAACATGTTTTTTCTGGATTCATTATTCACGTATGTTGTATTTGCTTTTTTAGATTAATTTTCTTTTTAATATTTTGTATAACGATGAACTTTGTTCTTTCAGTAATAGACTAACTTATTGTATACAGTAGAAACCGAGTTTATCTATTGCATGATAGATCGGGGATGAAACATAATGGATTGAAGATCGACCCTAGGGTTCCATCGAACCTAGGCACGAGGTTAGAACATGCGTCTTCAAAATTATCGAGTCTGAAATCCCGGAACTCACCANAAACTGTCTACGACTCCGAATTAGCTCGAGAACACATTATCGAACCAAAATAACGGAAGGCCGAAATATCCGTAACCGGTCGGATATCACGGCGGGAATCTCAGCACATATCAATGAAACCGATTAATTAGCAAATCATGAGATTTTTTACCTTATATAGATTTGTACATAAAGTAAGACTTCTCTACTGTATAAAGAGAGTCTGATTATTTGAAAAAAGACATGGTGACACGCATCTCAAAGCAATAAACTTTTATTTTTAGTCATTATTATCTTATCACTCTGTTCCAACACCGATTGCAGCATCTTTGACTCGAGGGTGACCAACCTTCAAGGCCAAGATTGTTCAACATGCGCTGTTTGCATTTGATATGACAGCGAGTCCGGTCACCAAGGTGAAAATAACAACATAGCGCCCAGTCATGAGATACCACCTGCTAATCCCGCTGGAATTCCAATCGCAGATCCGATTGACACTAATTCACATATGGCTATCGATGCAAACTTGCCTACCGACCCCGCAAATAGCGTTCGTGGTGGAGCCCGATCGACAACTCGAAAAACGCAAAACATTGAAGGAGACAGGATCAGTCTACGAGTGATCTTCGAAATGTTGAAGGCTCAACAGGCAGCGATAGTTCAGTTACAGAACCAAAGTCGTGTACCGAGCAGGGTTGAGCCCTATCTTCCCCGGGAAGTCACCCGCAAGGATGAACCGGTCATAGAAAGGTCGAACGAACACGAATCGGGGGCTAACCCCGAGATCATAAAAATGCTCGAGGAGCTGACAAAAAGGATAAAATCTGGGGAGAAGAAGATCGAGGCTAACGGCAAAAAGGTAGAAATTTACAATTCCAGGGTAGACCCAATCCCAGGAACACCTCCGATATTGAAGGACCTCGATTCCAGGAAGTTCGTCAAAAACCTTTTCCACCGAGCGCGGCTCCGAAGCCAATCCCCAAGAAGTTCTGTATGCCTGAAATACCCAAGTATAACGGAACAACCGACCCAAACGAGCATGTAACCTTTTATACATGTGCTATCAAAGGGAACGACCTGGAGGACGATGAGATCGAGTCTGTTCTGTTGAAAATTTTTGGGGAAACCCTGTCGAATGGAGCTATGATATGGTATCACAATTTACGTGCTAATTCTATTGATTCATTTGCTATGCTTGCAGATTTTTTCTTAAAAGCACACGCAGATGCCATCAAGGTCGAGACTAGAAAATTGAACCTTTTCAAACTCAAACAGAAGGAAAACCAGATGCTCAGAGAGTTCGTATCCCGGTTTCAAATGGAACGAATGGATCTGCCGCCGATCGCCGATGATTGGGTTGTTCAAGCTTTCACTCAAGGACTTAACATTCGAAGCTTGATGGCTTCACAGCAGCTGAAGCAGAACTTAATAGAATACCCGGCTGTTACATGGGCCGACGTGCATAACCGGTATCAATCGAAAATCAGAGTTGAAGATGATCAACTCGGGGCCCCTTCGGGGTCTCTCTATCCTGTCAGAACCCTCGACAGAGTCAAGAGAGATATCGATCGCGAACCGAGCCCAAACAGGGATCGGTATCAGCCGTATAATGGAGATCATAGAAGCAGTGGGTCCGGTCAAAACTCCATGAGAAAAGAAAGGAGAAATGACCGATGTCAAAAGAAGTCAGGGACTTGTGACCAAAAATGGCTTCGACGGGTCCAAAGACGCACCGAGGCTATCTGAATATAACTTCAATGTCGATGTTACCGCCATTGTATCAGCCATCGGGTGCATCAAATATACTAAATGGCCTCTACCTCTACAGTCTGATCCAACCCAAAGGGACCGTAGCCAGATGTGCAAATATCATGGCACTCACGGTCACAAAACAGAATATTGTCGACAGTTGAGAGAGGAAATGGCCATCTATTCAACAATGGGCACCTTTGGGAGTTCTTGAGCGACCGAGCCAAGAATCATTTCAGGAATAGGGATTCTAACAAATAGGCAGAACAAGAAGAACATCAACACGTCATTAACATGATCATCGGAGGGGTTGATATCCATCACTAGGGAGAAGCGAACTCGAGACTACATACCAGAGGGAACTTTATCTTTCAACGACGAAGATGCAAAAGGGATCGTGCAGCCCCACAATGATGCACTGGTAATATCTGTACTCGTAAATAAAATTCAGGTTAAACGTGTGTTAATTTATATAGGTAGCTCAGCCAACATCATTCGATCAAGGGTCGTGGGGCAGCTCGGTCTACAAGACCAAATCGTGCTTGCAGTTCGAGTTCTGAATGGATTCAAAATGGCATGTGAGACCACTAAGGGCGAAATAACGTTACTCGTAAACACCGTCGGGACCATCCAGGAGACTAAATCTTATGTGATCGAAAGGGACATGAGGTATAACACTTTATTCGGGAGGCCATGGATCCACAACATGAGGGCGGTGCCCTCGACACTACACCAAGCACTGAAATTCCCAACACTTGACGGAGTCAAAACGGTATACGGAGAACAACCGGCTGCGAAGGAAATATTCGCGGTCGGGGAGGTGATACCGACATCTACAGTTTCAACATCAAATAGCCCAAACCAGATGGTAAAAATTTGGGCCAAATAGCAATCACTCATACCATCTTCGACAGTTTTGGACAAACAAAACGAAGTCGAGGATGATGATTATGGGGTTCCCATATCTTTTATAGCCCCCGATGATTTCTACGCCACTAAATCGACGGTCGAGGAGCTAGAACAAGTCATATTGCGAGAAAGCTTGCCCGATCGAAAGGTATACCTGGGCACGGGGCTAAGCTCCGAGCTTAGGGAAAAATGCATTCAATTTCTTATAACTAATGAAAATTATTTCGCTTGGTC